ACACATTCTGAGTACTTTCGCATGCCGAAGTAGGCCTGAGCCTTGCGGATGTAAGCTCGGATGAAGGTAGGGTCCTTCTTGATAGCCGTGTCACAGTCCTCGAGAGCACTGGGGAACTCGAAGAGCTTGACAAAGGCAGCCGCTCGGTTGCTGTAACCACGAGGGTCATCGGGAGCTCGCTTGGTCATCTCTGTGTAGGCCGCAACGGCACCAGGGAAGTCCATTTCCTTGAACTTCTTATTACCCTCCTCACGAGCCTCCTCAGCCTTGGCAGGGTCGATGTAGGCCTTCTTGCCAGCCTCAGTCTTGGCACGCTCAGCAGAGCGGAGCTTGTTGAGGACATCGGGAGTTCGGTGCTCGGTAAGAGACCTGTTGTAGTTCTCAATAGCCTTCTCCAAGTCTCCCTTGCGCTCATAAGATGTACCAATACGAGCGTAACTCTTGGCAATGAGCTTGAAGTCAGCGTAGATCTCACGTCCCTCCTCGACAGCCTTGGTGCAGGCCTCGATGGCCTTATCGTAGTCACCCTTCTCGAAATAAGCGGCTCCCAAGTTGTTTAGGTAGGTAATATCCTTGAAGGTCTCCCAGGCCTTGGTGTAGTGTGCAATAGCCTCGTCAAAGTTGCGCTTCTTGTAGTTCTCAGTACCCAAAGCCTTCTCCTTGTCGGCCTCTTCCTTCTTTTTCTTCTTCTCGAGAGCCTCCTCGTCCAGCTCGGGCTCGGGTTTAGGCTCAGGGGCCTTCTTGGGCTCGGGCTGCTTGGGGGCTGGTGGAGCATCGGGCATGGGAGAGTCCTGGGATTCAGCGTTGGGGTCGACTTCGCGCTCGCGCATCTCCAGATCAACACCCATCAAGACACCCATGACTGTCAACAGACGGGGGTCGCTGAAGATCTCGGAAGCATTGGAAGGGTTGCTCTTGATCGATTGGAGCTTGGCCATGAATGAGGGGTCGGCGAGGAAACCGCTGGTCTTGGGGTTTGAGGCGAGCTTCTGAATCAACTGAGGGTCGTTGAACATTTGGCCGAGGCCACCGCTGGGATCTTGAGGTCCTCCTGTGGAAGTGTCAGTTGCCATAGTGTGTGGTTTGCGGATGTATTGCTTACCAACTTCGGCCTCCATGGCCTTCTTGACTGAAGACAACCCACTCTTGAGCTGGGCGTTGTTGGCATCGAGCTTCAATCCCTCCTCATACGCATCATTAGCACCAAGGAGGTCGCCCTGTCCGTGCAAAGCAGCACCCTTACGCCCCCAACCCTTGGCCCAGTCAGGCTTGATCTCGGTGGTCTTCTCAGCATCCTTCAGAGCATGTTCCCAATCCTTCTTTGAAGCATAGGCAGCAGATCGGTTGCTGTATAGAATGTGGTTATCGGGCTGGATGGCAATAGCCTCGGTGAACTTTGCGCTGTGTCATAGTTAGCAACCCCGATGTTCCGTTGTGTTATTGTTACTGCTGGTAACCTACACAGCCTCGTCGAAGTTCTTCTCGGCAATGGCCTTGTTACCTAGAGCCTTGAGCTCGTCCGCGGAAGCCATTTCGTATGTGAATTAGCAGAATCTGAGTGTTATAGGTACTAAACGACAGTTCTGATCTGAGTATCGAGTCTGTGGTATCAAAGAGTCAAAGTTACTAGACGATAAAATATGAGAGAGTCGCCCCAGGCGATCTTTGGTGGGGAAGAAGAGGGCCGTGGATGCCTTCTAGCTCATTCGATGCAAGTCTATGCAGGGAGCTTCCCATTGGGTGGAGCTCCAACTGCCCCGCCCCGCACCTACGAGGACCCTTGTGATGACCTCCAAGTTGCAGGGTAGGCAATTAATCAAGACAAACAAGGAACATGATGTCTAGAAGATTCCTCTCATCATGAGATCTTTGCATAGTATGTGAATTTGGCTTCACATAAGACATGGACTGGAGAAAAAATACATAGTATTACGCTAAAACAATAGAACAAGTTTGCCAGACATTCTTCTTTGAAGACCCTATTTTTACCTCAAATCATTTTGTGTATTTGTAAACTCAGATGGCCTTTCTTAGTTACCATAGATTTCAATGGACTAAGAACAATATCTAAACCAGACATATACAATCTGGAAGGAAACCTGAAAACAAACGCCAAACTTGCAGGACCTAACAGAAAAGAATAGGCAAAAGATTAAAAACATGCAGACCACAAATGGCAACAACTACCTCGACAGTCATGGAGTCCTCACGGACTCCATGGTGATACACCAAGAAGTCTCAGCGCATTCTCAAACACCTGCCTTGCGTTCTCATATAGAGCATATCTCGCCTCACTAGCTGCTTTGGGACCAGTCCAATCTTTCTCATCATCATCGTCAAGCGTGGCTGTTAACTGATCAACAATTCGGAGCAAGTATACCACAATAAAAGATGGCTCAAGAGTTCTGAAAGAGCCATGTGCTGCATCTGGATACTGCAATAGGATCCGCAGAAGCTCAGCATAGTCTTCTGTTTCCAACGAAGTATGATCAAGCGTCGTATAGTCGAAGCTGTCCGGACCGGATTCTAGCTTCTTCAATAACCTGGCGTAGCAGTTTTGAATAGCCGCCCCTGTCTCTCCTTCGAGGGATAACGACTTCTTGGGATCGACTGCATACGAGGTATTCCTCTTGTGATAGTGATCCTGAATGAATAGACCAGCAAGACCAAGTTGTTCCACCGACTTCTCCGACTTATCCACATGAAACGCTCCCTTCTCCTCCTCCTCAAGACTAGTTTGTACCATCGAGCGACATCCTTCAAGGTAGTCACTCAGAAGCTCTGCGCCCTTCAACGCTTCAGGAAGTCCATTAATCTTGGCAAAAGAAACATGTAGAATGCGCTCAGCCAGATCTTGTCTTCCCATGAGCTCAAGAGTCTTGGTAACTCGGTGGAAGTGCATTTCTTGCTCCATCGCAACGACATAGATCATCTTGTCAAATTGGTGTTTCTTGTATCGATCAAAAACTGCTGCAAGGTCGCGTAACAGATAAGATGTCGTCCCGTTTCGGTATCGCAATACTGCGAGTGAGAGCCCTTTTGCGTCGTGCTTCGAAAAGTCAATCTTCCACGAGTCTTCGTGCTCTTCGTATATGCCATTGTCCTTCAAGATCTGTTCGACTTCGGCGATTGACTCGGCAGTGACTTGTGACTCTCCAGAGTACTCATCAAACATTACACCGAGCTGTGCGTACGATTCCGTGTAGTCTTTGACGGTTGCATCACGGAAACGTTGCCACAATGCGATGGCTTCTGGGTCTCTATCCTCCATCTTCTTGAAGAAGGCGTCGCGCTCGGCATATAAGCCTCGTGACTCGATTTCTGTGACATCTTGTTTGTTCGTTTTGGCAGTCTTACATTCTTCCACCTCTGGTTTGAACAGATCCTGAATCTTGTGGTTGACCTCGAGAAGATGACGGAGCGGCTGTTTTTCAAACTCATCTTCAGAACCAAATCTCTGCCATCCAGCAGCAAGGAGACCGATCTGTTTTCCCCAGTCGCCGACGTAGTTCATCTTGACAACGTCCCACCCCATACTAGAGTGAATATTTGCGATGTATGTGCCGATCAGCGTGCTCCTCAAGTGTGACACTTGGAACTCACTCGCCATGTTCGGAGACGAGAACTCCACGATCAACTTCTTCCTCGGTCCATCGGTAGCTGTAGGATCGGCGAGGCCGAGTGACGTGTCATAACCATAGGACGAAGACCTATCACTGATGTACGAGAGGAGGAGCCGAGACAGTGTATTGGGTGAAAAGAAGACCTGTAGGCGGATGCCGTCGAGAAGGGGGCACCCAAACGGGGGTGTTCTTGGCAACTATGTTGTATACCTGTCAGTGAAGCTGATCATGCTCGACCCAGCCATCGTACTTTTTGAAGAAGATCTTTCGCCAGCTCCTCAGGCTTGACCCCTTTCAGTCTAAGTCTAGGAGCCACAATAATAAGATCGCCCATTCCTGTGATGTTCGAGGTCTGTATCGCATCGTAGGCTACCAGCCTATCGCAGTTGACAAGCTTCTGTAGGGTGTCGGCAAGGTAGACGCGAAAGATGTCCTGCGGGTTATGCACAATATCTGCATCGGGGAAGTCCGGTACTGGAGTGTCCAGCCCTACCTTTCCAAGTAGTGTTTCGATACCACTGACAGAGCAAGTTGTCGCTGCCATAGCCACGATAGTGTTGAAATGGTGTTGAGGACCGAGAACAGTGAATCAGCTGTCAAATTTTTGATTGCCTTATAAAAGTAGCCAGTTGGACTGATAAACGAGCGCATTTGGAGTCATTTCAAACGAGTGATCTGGGGGAGTTGGGCATCAAGACTCATATAGCCTCACAGCCTCATCTTGATAACGGCAAGATGATTTGTTAAAACTGCCTCTGCGCCGCTTGATGCTGTCGAGCTGCGCGATGAAGTGGCAGCCACCCAAGACATGCCGTAAATGAGGCTTCCAGAGAGCAATTGGCTGTCAACAAACAGGGTTAAAGCAAAGTGGTGTATCATGCGCATCGTGATGCATGCAGGTTGCACTGGGGGATCCTGTGCTGTGTGATGCTTGTTGACAGCGGGAAACGTGTCATATCTCGGACATGACCATCTTGTTGCCCAAGGCCTAGGCCGTCGACGGGTCCGAGATACCAATACATAAGACGATAGGTAAAGAGAAGGCGACCGAGGGGTGAGGAGTTCTGTGCCTGATGATTCGCTGCCCATTTTGAGGCCCGCTTGGAACTTTCCTAAGCCTTCGGTGTGAAACTTCCAACAACCCAATGCAGGCGCCTTGTCTGAAGAATGACCACATGCAAATACTGTCAAATGACCATTAGTCTATTGTCTGTTTTGGGTATTCGAAATCCACATTGCTTACTGCCAAATCACTCCGTGATGCCTTTTGTGTCTTTGCCCAGAAAACAAGTAATCCTTCGAAATCGATGCACAACCGTCGAACAAACCCGCCAGAAACACCGGTATCAGTGGTTGCATTGTCTAGCCAAATGAACTTCACGACTTGGGGTCGAGGTAGGCATCAACAGCGCTGGTAGTGACACCTTGTCATCCTGACCTGTGTCGTCGAGATCTATAGCGGTATACAAACCAAGAAATTCCACTGATGCAGATCACATTGAAGATGACGACCATAGCAATATATGCTGGCCAAGAGGATGAATCATCTTTGCCTGGCTTGCCGGTGTAGACTTGAGCAATCAAGTTCATAATGGCCAATCCCTATAATTATTAGCTTTCCGGGTCACAAGTTTATCTGCCGAGGTGACATACAAACGCTGCAACCGTGACTTGCTCGATTGTACGGTCTCTTGTCTGCTGCTCAGCTGCGTAGTCGTTCTTCCTCTGCAACGTAATTCTCGTTAGTTCACGAGGCAAAACAGGGAAGTTTAGGCCAAATTTGGAGTAAGAAAGCAGACTGGCATTACCTTGCGTCTGACATCTTCAAAGGCGTCTCTGAGATGCTCGAGTCCTGTGTTAATGTCCCTCAAATGAGTACAATATCGCTTTATTGCGCGCAACGATTTGATGGCACCGAGTTCGGCCTGCAAGCCCTGCCATAATGGGCCATAAGGCACTTCATCTGGGCCAACCATGACATCGTCCGTTAAGAAATGGCTGACTTTCTTTGCTAGACTTGAATTAAATTGTACCAGTTTGTTCAGAACCAGAGGGAAGCGCTTTATCCACTCCTCCATGGCAGGAGATCGATCTTCAGGAATGGCAATCTGCAGAACCTGGTCAGAAATCCTATACTTGGCACTGGGACTTTTCCTTTTTGTTTAGAAAAGACTGGACCATGTCACAACTTACATAAATCTCGATGCTATTCTTTAGTCGTTCCAGTACGTTCCCGTGATAATCAACAATCCGCTCTAGTTGCCTGTCGAGAGCTACGAGCAAATATGCTCTTGGTGATCGGGCTCTCTTGAATTCCGGCTGGAGAGTGATTGGGTCTTCACGCCCGCCTACACTTAGGACTTCTTCGTCGCTCATCAGTCTCGACTCTTGGTCAAAAAACTCATCGTCCAGACAGACTGTAGTTGAGTATTGCTCACTGCGACCCGTAATCATGAGCGAGAAGACAGCGACGTGGAGAACGGCGTTATCTGGGACGCACGAGCTCTGTTGTTGATCTCTTGGTGTTGTCGAGGACTTGAGATTCAGAAAAGCTATGTCGTCTCGAGCCCGAAAATTCTTATTTTTCGATAAAATACGAGTATCCGACCGATCCTGTGTACTAATGGCCAGATATGGTAGGTTGCATTCAATAACGAAGCCAGGTGTCCACCAGTCCTAAGTTGATGTATTAGTGACACTGAGAGATCCTATGGGGAATGCACATACAGTCTCCCTTAGACTCAGCTCCGGGACTGGGCTGGGGCTCAAGTAGTTCGCAAATAGTTTGCGAAAGCCATCAACTTGGGAAGCAGGCGTTCTTCTGAGGAGCGAAAGTATACTGACTCCGTTAGGATTGCTAATGTATCTTGAGAAAGTCAGTACCGAAGTCAATAACGTAAGTCTTCAACAGGGCTTACATTCGCCGAGTATTTCCGATTATCTCTGGCTCTGAATCTTTGCTGAAGCGCTGATTTCGTGCTGTAGTCAGTCTCGGGCCTCTGTTGATTGTTGATGGTGGTGACCAGATATAGCTTGCGTACCTCTTGTTGCAGTGCTCCATGGAACTCGATGTTAGTCAAGAGGCGATCGTGCAACGGATTTGACGGAACCGAGATCTGAGGGTTCAAATGGCAGTCGAATATCCACGCTCTCGGTTCCTGCACATCTTTCAGACGAGAGTTCCCAGGGTCATCGGGGATAAAGTTGACAATGATGAAGCCTGCCCCTTCACAAAATTCCGAAACGTGTGTAAGTCTGTCTTCCCATCGAGGCAACCGCGGAAATGGAAGCATAAAAGCTACGATCTCATCCGTTTCTTCGTCCTCATCATCTTCATAGTTCTCCCTGAAAACTTCGATGAACGGTTTGTCCTCCTCCGTAACTTTAATCCTGACTCTGTGCCCGAAGCGTTTTCCCCATTCATACTTGTCTGCCCAGTCGGAGGCAGCAGTCACCACAAGTTCGTAAGTGGCAGATGTAAAACGCTCAAGGTAGTCGAATCCAAGAAAACTGCGGCCTCTCCGAGAATTCGCAATTTGCGGCACCCTCTCAATCGTTGAAGCCATACCTAGTTCAGCAAGTATCCTGAGAGAGCATGATCCTTTCCTTCTTTTACTTGAGTTCTTTGAGTCAAAGGTAAGAATGTTAGAAGGTAAGTGTGCTATTAGAGAAGCAGGTATATAAAGAGGTTATAAAGAGGAATACTGAGAAGGACCGGCTAATCTCTACAGGTGAATATAAGATCAGTGCAGGGCCTAACATCAACACCCATCATTAGGATTGGGCTCACATCCTACTTCATCCAGCTGCAACCACTTCCTTGGGCAAAACCCGAAACTTTGGAATTGAGTATATGCGTCTATGATATATGTACGCCAAGGTGCGATGATAGATCTTGTAAGGCAATGTGGAAGAAGCGCCTAATGACACAGGATCGAGCACCACAGTGCTTTACATCAGCTTGATATTGGCTAGATCCGTTGAAAGGTGCAGTATCAATCATGTGGCTCATCACAGCCACGTAGTTGAACGGGAGGTTCCAGAATACTTTAGCAAAAGAGATGGCCTCTTGAATGCTTCATCTTTTGGCATCCGTCCACCAACCAACTCATGCATTACACAGCCACCCTTCAGTTTTCAACCCACCAACATTCTGCATTGCAACGTTAGTTTCCGTACTATGAGGCTCTTCCTCACCGACTTAAAAAAATTTTCACTTACTGTTAGGCTGTATCATTCTCTCGAACTTCTCTATTTGGTCCATGTGCTGATTGAGATTGGCTCGACTCTCTCATTTGACGTGTCACATCCCGACGCACCCTTAAGCAAGAGCTAACTACTCATAGTTGAACATCAGTAGCAGGACTTTCGCGCTATTTTCGCTATGTCCTACCTTACCTGCACTTGTATGTAAAATTCTTACACACACATTGCCCTCGAAGCTTAACTTACTACTTTGCAGGGGTTGACCTGGTTCACAACATGAATTATAACTGACGTTCCAATAACATTCGAACGAGTCAGAAGGTTGGTATTACAGTCTAAAATCTATCTATATTTTCCCGAACCGGAGCCCCGCACAAAAGAAGAACTAACGTTAGTATCCAAAACAATATTCCGTATCTTACAACAAAAACAGGTAATTTTCCATGATGAACCATAGTCATCACTATTAAGTTCCCTCGCTCTGATGAGTCCTTTGCCAGTGGCAATAATGTTCCCCCTAACCAAATCGGCGAGTTGCGCAGTTTGGACATCTGTAGTTACCACAGCAAGGACAAGGGTCCACGCTGACCTTCATACCACTTGTTCCGCATTGGCACTTCGATTGTTAGTTGACAACATGCCCTGTGGAAGCAGCGTAGAGAACATACACAAACCCACACCCATACGACTTTCCTTCGCGGCGCGAGCTCATGGATAGGAACAGGAGTTGGACCGGCGGCTTGGTCGGCTTCAGAAATCGCGAATCAGCATCCAGGATACCCTCAGAGACCGAATTGAGGAGAGCAAGGAGCAAGGAGCAAGGAGCTGAGTATCTTACCTTCTGCATCCAACGAGCTAATGCTGTCAATAAATTTCAATGCATCTTGACTTGCCCTCATCTTTTTCTAAGGCGGGTGAGAAAGGGGGGGGGAGCCTGCGATAGGCTGATTAATTTCTGACCGTGTTCCCGTGACGACCTGCATCTGCGGGCACTCACGTTATACTGGCTCTTGCTTCGTGTTTTCTCATACAAAACAGAATAGGTAGTCTTTCAACAGAAGGGCTTCGAGCACCCATTGGACGAGAACAGCAAGAATACAGCAGATTTAAGCTCCTCTGGGCGACCACGTGACAAAGTCGGCGAGGCTAGAACCTGGAAAGATAAAGGGGTGGTTGGCCCAGGAATGGGACGTGCCTGGTCTGTTATTTAAACTACCCCTTTCACTAAACTCTACCTTAGTACTATACCTCTCCAAGGAACTGCCTTCACGTAGTATTTCTAATTACCGAATGGACGACGTCACGAGGTAATAAGAGACAAGATCACGACCTCTTAAAATGAGACCGACGGCTGCCAGAGATACACCTCAACAAGGGCCACCCGTGTAGCACAAATTATTCGATATGCAATCTCAATTGGCTCCTTCGGCTGGCCGTAACTCATGGGGATGCCGACTGTTACTCCTGTCGACCTGTTTAATGACACAAGCACGACCTTGAAACATAGGTAGTGAGCCTAGTAGCGGGATTGGCGAGACCCTGCTTTGTCTGTGCTATGGACTTAATCAAACTTTGGAGCGGCTGGCAAACGAAGTTAGACACTGTTGAGTCTTGAGAAAAACAGGCCATCCCCTAGCCAGCGAGCTCATATAAGTTTGGCAAGTTATACCTCTTCAACTGACAGTCTACCAGGAAACAAGAGGACCGGCAGAATTGCATCTTGGCATATCATGACGAGAGCTGAGACTGGGCCCAAATTCATGTTCAACAATCGAGCGCTCACATAATACAGTCCTTGACCGGTCATCATAATCCCACTCAGAGAAACCCAATCAGGCTTTAGGAGTGGATGGTGTAACCCGACTCACAATGGATAATTGTTGGACAAAAGTCGGTGGCCGGGAGTCACCTTTCAAGTGTAATAGAAATGCCTGGTAAGGGCTCTTATCGTAAAAGAAGGTATACTTCACAGCCTCAGAGCAACGCTGCCAGCCTTTTCTGAAACTACATGAGCAAGACGCCGGCGGTTATAACGGACACTGGCATAGTGCTACTCGAGTCCCTGGCTTAGCATCGGGAAGTTATGTACGGAGTTTGGAAAATTTGGAGGCACTCCGTCTTTCCATGAGCTGCATATTCTGAAACTTTTATACAAATTTGAGTATCATTATTAATGTAGTTTGAAACCCCAGTATTCTATGACGCTCACCCCGGGAGCGTATCTTTCACTCTGCTGCGGTCTCTCGTTGCTTTTCTCAGCAACGTTGTAAACTGTCTAAGTCTAAGCCGATCTCGCATCGCGGTCAAAGCCTTGTAAACCAAGCCTCTTAGGCTATTTGCCCAGTTTCTTTGCTTTTGTGAGGCTTGGTATAAGTTTGAATAACAGTTGAACTGGTTTTCGCCCTGTTGTACCGGAAGCTGCAGCATGGCCGTTGAAGAGAGCAGCCATATGAGTAAGCAGCTAAAGGCAACCCAGAACAAGTTATATAATCTTGAAAGAGACAAGGTATGACTCGCTTCTGTAGATCCAGGCTCAATCGGCGGAACGTGACTCAAAATGCTTGTCGCCTAAGTAGTGTTAGCAAGGTTAGTAGACCTCTTTCAGGAACTGAGAATGCCGACTGACAAAGGCAGCAAGAGTCAACATGTGGAGGTTTCTCTCCTTGCTTATTAGCTTATTTTCATGTTTCAGTTTCTAAAGCCAGCTATGAGTGAGTATACTTGTCACAAAAGAAAAGAAGCGAGAAAAAGTAAAGGGCTGGAAAAAGGAAGAGGGGTGTGTGTGAATGGTCGAGGTCAAAGATGACCTATGTCAACTAACCCTGTCTCTTCCCTCATTAAATGACTTATCGAGCTGGCTAAGCTCGATGTGAATATCTTTTAAACTCTCAAGGCTGTCTGTAATATCAATTAGAGATTGCGTGGCACGTTCCTCCGCCTGTACGTTCAGCCACAACTTATGTTGGGGCAGACCTTCAGGGCTGACCATGAGGTGATGCGATACGAAGTGCTCTAGCCTTTCAACAAGTATTTTGTTGCAGCACGTCACCCTCTCAAGAGCCTCTGGATATTTCCTAGCCCACTCCTGCAATTGTTTTGGAGAAAGATCACCAGAGGAGCCATGTTTTGACGAAGAGATCTATATCAGAAATTAGAGATAAGCACACTGACGGGAAAGACTGCTGCACTAGGTTCGAAGGCACCTAGCTCTTCGGTCCGGCCAACCGGGGGCTTACATGTACATTGAGACTGGTTCGAAGGGTATCTTGTATATCTTTATGGCAATCCACAACCTTTACGAGACCAGTTGCCAGTGCTGCAAGTGCGTAAGCCCGAGGAGACTCTGGCCTGTGTGCCAACTTCATTATAATAGGATCTGTTCCCTCCAATTGTTCCATGCTGTCCTCGGGCGATAGTCTGGGCTCGTCTGTTCCATCGTAGAGGTCGTCATTGAGACAAATGGCAGTCCAATATCGGTTGCTCTGTCCAGTTACCACAACCGAACAGACACCCTCAAGGAGGGATATGCCATAATCTTCGCGACCAGTCTCTTCAGAAAAGTAAGAGTCGGTCTCACACGCCTCTAGGTGAAGGAAAGAAAGGTCGTAGTAGGATCGAAGTCGTTGTTTGTTATGGGAAAGTGTTCGGGAGTCTTGCTGGCTTTGAGCACTTATAGCGAAGAACGGAAGGTTAAAGGAGAAGACGAAACATGTCGAACCCCACCAGAACTTTGAGTTTAATATTATATTTAGATAAGATAATTCTTTCTTCATCTGCGAATGGAGACTGACAGATCACTTACAATTTCTCTTGAGCTCATGACCGGCTTCGGACTTTCGCTGATGTAGTTCGCCAAGAGCTCTCGAAGCCCGGGAACTTGCGAAGGGGGCGCCGTTCGAATCAAAGCCAGAACACTCTGGCGATTGGGCTTATTGATGTATCTTCGAGTTTAGTAACTAATCATGGGGACAAGATTGGAACATTTCTTACATCCTTCGAGCTGGCCCAACGGTGATATTGTGACCATTGTCTGAAACTCGCTTCTTGCGGCGATCCGATCAGTAAGAACTCGGTAACCCTGAACATATAGACCACGTATACATACACTTGTTCCTAAGATAATACAAAGCTCTTCATTGCTGAGGACCTGACCATATTGGTTTTTGGAAACCCCGAGGATCTCATGAGTATCAGGTTTCCAATTGGCATCAGATACCCAGGCGATGGGATGCTGTCCGTGGTACGGACGCGGCCCTTCGAAGTTTTTGTCATCAGCATCATCCCTGATCAAAGGGTTGTCGTCACAGAAGTTCTTTATGTAGCGTGCCTGACGTGCCAATGAACGAGATAAGAGTTGGGACGAGAAGAAGGTAAAGATATAGTCATCATCATCGTCGATATCCGCACTATTTCTGAGAATATCAACCATTGATTTGCTCTCACTAGATGCCACATTGGAGTCTCCAGTGGGAGCCATTTCTTGTCTTGGGTTCATAGTGCTTGTTTGTATGATAAGAGAGTGTGTGAAAGGCAGCAAATAGCAAGATGCCTTTTGTGCGAAAACAAAAGGACGAAAGAATTTATGTAGGGTTGGTTCACTTAATGATTGGTCGATGGCGAATCAGATTCACAGGCCAATGCCCTATCACATAGATGCATGCTGAAGACTATTGCATATGTATTCTTGAAACTGAGAGGACCGAGTTGACTGGATGTGAAATATAGTTGTTGGCAGTATCTTGCCACCGTTGCGGTGCAATGAAAGCTGAGCAGACATCATGTGATCAATTCGCTATAAATCTTCTCCAGTATCTTGACAGCCGTTCTCATTCAAGTGTATAGGGGCTCTTTTTACTCTGGACGGCGGGAGTAGTATCTCTGGGTGTCACAACTCGGGCATCTTGGCCGGCCACAGCTTGGACAAGGGTCCACGCTTACTTTCATTCCTCCATGGCCGCAGTGGCACTGATTGATGTTAGTCAATACAAGTTAAAGGCGCCAAATAGCTGAGGTTCAAGGGGACGTACGCAGAACCATATCCATACTACTTTTCGTCTCGGAGGAGCAGACACAACAAACGGTCCTGGAGGGGATGCTAGTGGGTGTATTGTCAGCCACTCAACGATAATGAGGCTTGAGCTTGAGGGGCACTCCAGCAGGGCATACGTAGGTCATTTGGAGTAGAAGGCCTCAAGGACGAATCATCCTCTTCAGATTCCTCAGCTCCGAGTTGCAATCTCGGCGAGTCAAAAATTCCGTCCATCAGAATGTAAGGCGGCTGCAAATAGCCCTATGGAATGAATGAATGGTCAACAAACGTTGCAACGGGAAAGGAAGTCCCGGCGGCACGTATATATACTGACTTGTCTAATCCCAGGAAATTGAGGGAACATGGTGTTGAGACTGCCGATCGTATGTGAGATTGCGTTTCCGATCAGATTTTCTTGCAGGGCAGTGAGCCGCTCGAAGTCTGATATACAGCCTTGTGATGCTTCTTTATTGCAGTGCGTACAATTGGGTGGCACTACCTGAGATAGAACTGTTGTGAGAAGGAGGAAAGAGATCACTTCGGACGGAGACTACTGAATCTCATAAATGTACGTATGTACGTATGCATTTCACGCTTATTACTCACCGCCGGACGAATAGTCACTCGTTATGCGTTGAGTTGAGACCATTGGCATCTATTCGTAAGGACATACCTTAATGATAGGCGCGATACGAGCCGATGACACTGAAAAAGTCCTGGGGGACAAGAGGAGCCCAATGAAAGAGTAGGGCTGACAGGGGCAACTAGGAGGCTCTCCGATTTCAACGACGAATATGGCCTCACTCTATCTCTAATTTCACCTTGGTACTGCCTCGTGGAAGGTTTCAACCAATTGTACACATCAATCTTCATCGGAAGGCGCTTTGACCTCCGTGAATTTGCTCAGTTTTATAGCAAACCCATTTCACGGCAGCCGTTGATTGTTGTTCCTTGTCAAGGCCTCCCTTGACCGGTGCAGTACTACTGTGTTTTGTGTAACGGGCATGCAACTTGGAGGGCCATACACTCAGGTCACTGGTCGGCATTAAGGTACCTAAGCTTAGAATCGAGACGGTCAGACGACTGGCCAAGGGAAAGTGTAAGAAAGGGGCAATTAGGTAGATCAATCTCAGGTGGCATTTACCGAGCTCATTCCATCGACATATCCGGCATGCAACAGCTGCTGCATAACTGCAAAACAACACTGCATGACACTTGCCAAATAGGTGGCTCTTTGCGATGATGAATCTCTGACTCACTCACGAGATAGCAATGCTAGAGACTGAAACAAGCGGATCTTTGTGCGAGCTATTTTGTTCTGGTCTCAAAAGTTAACCAGGCTAGGCCAGGCTTGACGTTGTGCCACAAATACACTCCCGTGTCTGATGATAGCTCACAATGCATTATACTACAGTATTAGATAGTGCTCCGTAGCTCAAATCTCCGTGTGGCACACCTGGCGGGTAGTACCATGCTGCCATGCCTGCGCTGCATTACATGGTTGTATCAAGAAAAAAGCCACTGATCAGGGGTGAAGCTGCAGCCTCCAAATTACAGTAAGCCTGCAGGAAGGGGCCAATTGGTCTGAGAGCTTTTGTACTGACGTATCGCTTTCATCGTTTTTCATCTCGACAAACATTATTCCAAGAAACATGTTTGTTGTCCATGAGCCTGATCCAATTTAGTAAACTTACAGAACAAGACTCTATGTCGACTAGATGTTCACCATCTTGGACGAATAAAGAATATCGTCAGTCGTCATGAAGACCTTTCACGAGACAAGATGACGTATCCCTTGAGCCCGGGGTAAACTACAGGGCTCTCCATGTATGAGGGAACAAGGATCTGCAGGGCTCACTCATCTGGTGACCAACACCCAGTGAGCCACTCTGTACTTGATAGCATTAATTATTTTCGTTTCTTCTTTCGCACGCCGTACGAGGCATGGCTATTGCTCCATGTGACCACCCATAGAGTTCATGACCACAGCGCCCCAATCCAAATAGCCATCGAACCATATCGAAGGATCAACGCCCTGGAGCACCTCGGAAGCCCAAGGCATTTCTGGATTCCAGTCCGGCATCGAGAACACATCCGACTGCATATCTTGTCCTATTGCCGCCCCTGTCCCTGCCGCGCCGGTCTCGCCCGTACTACTGCCTCCCATCTCCGTGTCTCGGGTCTCATCATGAATCTTCAGCGCTTCTGTCCCAGCCGCAACGATCTCGGCCCATCTTTCCAGTTTTGCCCTTGTGATCTTGACTTTGATTGCGCTCATGCTCCAGAGGTTGTGATCCGATGAACCAGGCTCGGTTGAGGCCATCTGGAATGATGCGTTAGCTTCTTCAAACCGTGCACATATCGCTGATAATATCCCTGTAACATCAAGCGACAGTCCCGGCTGGGTCTGGATCTGTGACCGAAGAGCGGCCACGGCAGCTGGTAGCCTTGGATCTGTACCCTCCCGGAGTGAGATCGGACTGGTTTCATGAGAATCTCTTCCCGTCGTCACTGACGGTGTTGCAACTGATGGGCTGACACTCGCCGAATATGCTGAGTCTGCCTTGTAAATCTCATCGTGGGGGTCGCGTGCACTTGTGTCTTGCGGCATCGGTGTAGTAGCCTTTGTCAAAGGAATCGGGGCCGTGTATTTGGCCCAGCGACCGAGCATTGTCATCCCGTAAACCAGTTGTGCAACTACTGGTGTTGTCTGGTTGTAAAACTCTGAAATTGGTACCGTAAGCCAATCATCAAAGAACTTCTTCAAGGCGTTTCTTGACTGGTAAAAAATGTCGAGAGCTGAAGCAGCCCCTAAGGTTGGAGAAGTCAATGATTCCGACATTGATATAATCCGAGGGGCATCCAGTATAGGAGGTTCATATAACCGGAGCATGGCCGTATTTAAAAACATATTTATCACTCCTGCAAAATTCATCATCAGTAAATCAGAAACGCAATTAGTACGAGTAATAGAACTCACTGTCGTTTGTAAGCTCAGGAGGTAGCCCATTCCTGATCCTGTCAAGTTCGCTATGGAACGCAGAAACATAGGCTGATAATGGTGCTGCTGGTAGACCAACAACTTCTTCCGCTGGGTCATCTGGAGCATTGAGTTGTGCAATCCTCTCCGTCAAGTGCTGGACTCTTACGAGCGTCACGAGGCGCATGTCGGTTTCGTACTCCCTTTCCTGCTCAAGAACAGCCAAACATTGTTGGATGTATTTGGTGTACCGCATGGGTTCTATCCGTAGGAACCCAAGAGACATTCTAACAACAGTTAGTCCCAAAAGAACCGATGAGTGATAGTGGTGAAACTCACGATGAAGATAGATACCACACTCCTAACAAGGCTCTCCTCTCCTCGTTAGTCCTTGCTGCCGGTTGGAATGGTGTCACAACCATCAAGCTGGTCCGCTCAAGAACACTCGGACTGCGGTGCAAGCCCAACTCGCCCACGAGCGTAGAGGCCAAGGCAATCAAGTTGTTTAGCTGTGCGTGCATGAAGCAGTGATACTTATACCACGCAATTATGACAACGATTCCAAGTAATAAGTCCAAGGATCGTTCGGAGCGGATGAGCATGTGGTCGCCTATGTACTTCATCAGATGATACATCTGAGCCCGCATCGACCTTAGACTGCGATAAGATGTAACCATACGGATGGCTGACATGAGAAAAGGCCGCGTCGTCTTGAGTTTTGCTGCTGTGACTCCATCGGGGATGACGACGAACGGGTGAAGAGCCTGCAACTCTTTTCGATAGAGCTTCAAGAGCTCCTCGTCTGAGGCCGGGGGAGGGGGAGCCACCCCACTGGTCTGTCTGCAGATACATTGTGGAGGAGCATATGAGTTGTAAGTATCAGGTATTGACCATTCTATTGTCTCAGGAGAGAGCGAAGAATCCCTCTCTTTCGTTGAAGGCTTCCTTTGATCAGTAGTGGTAGGGTCAACTTCAGTTGGGATGCAAGTAGTGTCTGTTGCAAGATCGGCATTGGTGAGACCACCTGCTTTGAGGAGATTGACTAGTCCATTTAGTCTCTCTTCTATTTGAGCAGTTCGTCTAAAACATGTCAGTGACTGACGATATGTGAATGCGGTGTGTTGTTAGGGTTGTATGATAGGTTAACTTACGATGGTTTGACAGTTCTCTTTTTCCGGGGTCGATGTACCTGCTCTGTACAATTTTTGACTAGTCTTTCACATCTGTAAAGCATGTGTCAGTCCCATTTTCCCTTTTCAACCGCGGTCCCGGGATTAATTATGGAGAGGCTCCGTAATGGCCGCCGAAGATCCGGCCATAGGCCTCCGGAAATCTCGGGCCATTCGGAGCCTCATCTCACGTGGCTCAAGGCATCTGAGAAGTAATCGAAACGTAAGAAAAGGGGTTAAAAATATACTTACCTATCGCACTTTGATCCAGGAGTGCTATTTGACCGTATACACTTGGC